ATATATAATACACATATATCAAATTATTATTGTTGAAATATTACACAGTTTTATCTTTTATGTTTGACAGTCATTCTTCAACGTGCGTACATTCTCGTAGTCAGTCGTAGTCACTAGAATTTATATTATTTTGTGTGTTTTTTTTAAGTACATTTAAAATTGTTCATTTTAATCCTACATAGTGATAGTATAATGGCTTCTATTCTTACTGATGAAGAAATACTCAGTATGATTAATAATGGAGATTTTCTATTGTCAGACGAAGATTTTGGTTTTAATTCTGAGAGTGATAGTTTAGGCGAGGGTGATTCTGCAGATGACGATTGCGATCAAAATAATATAGTTGAACAAAATATTGCCAATCAATCGCCTGCATCGCTTACTGAAACAGATTTAGCTTCACCATAAATTAGCTGTGAAAACAATTATAACTGGTCTACTTTTCGTCCTCAAGTTATAGATATTCCTTTTTCTGAAACACCAGGACTTAAAATTTTTCTTAAAGGTAACGACCCAATTGATTTTAATTTATTTGTTACAAACACATTTTGGGAGTTTTTAGTTGAAGAGGCAAATTCATATGCAGTTGAAGTCTTTTTGAACAGCGATCGGTCTAATTCTCGTATTTCAACTTGGAAAAATACAGACGTTGTTGAAATGAAAAAATGTATTGCTCTTTTATTTCACACTGGTACTATTCGCGTAAATAGATTAGAAGACTATTGGAAAACCAATGAGCTTTTCAATTTTATATTTTTCGAAGTACTATGAGTCGTAACCGATTTATGCTATTGCTCAGAGTCCTACATTTTTGCAAAAATCCAGGACAAAATGATAATCCTACAAGTCGCTTACATAAAATCGACAAAATGACAAATTATTTCAATAAAACAATGGAAGAACTTTACCAACCATCTAAAAATTTATCGATCGATGAATCTATGGTTTTATTTAGAGGAAGACTTATGTTTCGTCAGTATATAAAAAATAAGAGACACAAATACGGGATTAAGTTGTATATGATGACGGAATCGTGGGGGTTGGTTCATAGAGTTCTAATTTATTCAGGAGAAGGTACTGGTACATCAGAAGAGTTAAGTCATATTAAACACGTTGTAGAAAAACTAATGGAAGGTTATTATTACAAAGGCCATTCAATCTATATGGTCAACTATTATAACAGTGTCAAATTAGCACATTATTTATTAGAAAAACAAACATACTATACGGGTACTTTACGAGCCAATAGAAAAAATAATCCTAAAACTATAAATGATAAAAAATTGAAGAAAGGTGAAACAATTTGTCAATATACAGAAAAGGGAGTTGGTGTGGTAAAATGGAAAGACAGACGAGATGTGATCGCAATATCTTCAGAACATTCACACGATTTGGTAAATATAACTAATAGAAGAGGAATAATTAAATCGAAACCTCTTTCCATAATAAAGTATAATGAATATATGTCGAGCATTGACAGACAGGATCAAATGCTTTCCTATTATCCTTGCGAAAGGAAAACGTTGCGGTGGTATAAGAAACTAGGAATACACTTTATACAAATCCTACTACTTAATTCGTACTTATTATATAGTAAAAATGTAAAAAAAATTTCATTTTACGACTATCGGTTAAAAATTATTTCGACTTTATTAAATTCTGGAGAAAGTAATATATACTGAAAGACAAACAACAAATAATAATGCATTATATTTTTCAAAAAAAGTTTCGATCGGTCGCAGCGGACTGTATACATGGAATACTATACCACACTTTAGGGTCATCCGAATTCATCAAATTCGATTCTGTGCGTTTCGATTCTATTTAACAACAATGATTTTGAATAGGATCAGATTAATTTGTTTCAAATTCGTATTTTTACTTCTATGTGACTTATTGTTTATTGATGTTAATATGAGCATCGTGGTTGAACAAGTTGTTGAATTGTTTTATAATACATTAAAATCAATTTTATAAATGAACACGTGACCAATAGTACTATAAGGACCGACTAAAGCGCGATTCACACTGGTACGACACGACACGACACGACAAGAGCAAAAAAATGTTGGTCTGTCGGTGCCTGTCGGAATCAATTTAGTTGAAATATATATATTTTTATGTACTCATAATTATTGTATAACTCAAATTATTATTTTTATTTTTTATTAATAATTGAGTACCTATATAATAATTTGTTGAGAAATGTCAGAATGAATTACGTAAAAACAAGTCGAACGCTTGATTTATATATATATATAAAGATTATATTATACTATACAATAATATAATTATTATAGAGGTAGTACATAGAAACAGATTTTATATTATATTGCGCGTCGACAGTACTATTGTCGTTGCCGTCTTGCCGATGTCGGTCATGTGTGTATTGGACACATTTTTATCGTGTCGTGTCATTTCATATCAGTGTGAATCGCGCTTTACACTATAGTTTATTTTTATTTAAAACTTATTGATAACTCTACCGGAAAATTCTACAAGTTGTGCCTGAAACGAAACTGGTCTGGAGACCTTCTGTAAATAACTAAAGTAAATCAAGTCTATCTACATTTTACAAAATTTTACATTTTACAAATCTGTACAGTTTTTAAATACCAATTAAAGTATTTATATGTGTATGTATGAAAAAAAAAATTGATAAGAAATTTTTTGGAGCTACGCAAAAATTTTGATTTAAATCGTTTTTTAAAAAATTTTTAGTTTTTGAACGGTTTTTATGAATTATTCGAAGTTGTAAAATATGTTAATTATTAATTTTAGTTATATTTATTGTTATTCGAAAAATATATTAATTTTAGTGAGTGATCTTAACTAATTCAAAATGAATAGTAAAAAAAATTAAAGGGATAGTTAACACAAGCTTGTTTATATGTTATTCCAATAGTGGTCTCAAATTTCAAAAACTGTTGGCGTACAATTTTTTGAATATAATATTTTACACTAGGTGTTATAAAGCAATTTATAATAATTTTTTAGGAGCTACCGAAGATACGTTTCGTAATAAATGTGTATTAAAGGTATGAAAACTTGAATTGTACTCGTATATGTACACGAAATTATTTTATTTAAATTGTTCATAATAAAAAATTGAAAAAGTAATTTAAAATGGAACGTGTTATAACGATGAGTTACAAGAATTGTAAAAAATATGAAATATAAAAACTGAATATTATTTTCTATCGGTAAAATTATTTTAATAAAATAAAGTTTTCCCTGCAAAATCTCGGTCTTTTTGATTGATTCTTGTAACTTCGATAATGATCGTTTTTCAAATGCCATAAATTTCGCTTTCAAATTAAAAATATTAACAGACTTACGATTTGCGAGTGGAGTGACACAACTGGGTGTATCCGAGTTGGATCCCAGATAATATTTATGATTAAGAACTAATTGAGTCCGATCATACAAACGATAACATACGAATTCGGTCAGACCTTAAAAACCATAACATATTAGTTTGGTCCGACCAATACGACTATAAAACCCGTAACTTACAAGTATTAACACACTTGATAATGTTATAAAATTAATAGATTTGAGTTTCTAAAAGCTTTATCATTTAAATGTTTATACATTGTGTACATTTTTAATTTTTTTTATAATTTATAAATATTTAATTTTTTTATTTATTATATACCAGTATTTTAATTTTCAATTAATAATTATATACCATGTATTAGAAACTTTAAAAAAAAAAATGTTTAAAAATCATACCAGTGTTTTAATTTATAGATAACTAACAGTTTTAAGTCTGTGAAAATGAGAAGGGAAACGTTTTTTTTTTATGGACCCAACTAATAAACGCTGACTCCACTAAAAAGTAGCAAAATTAACCTAGATCTCCGGTCCATTTTATCATTTTAAATTTTTGGAACAAAATTTATTTTAAATAAAAATCTGAATTCGATACGATTAGAATAACATTATTATCAATATTTTTAAACAAATAATCTTAATATTCGTGGTGAACCTGATTTCCTCCTTTATTATACCCACATTCAGAACAAAATGACTATAATTTTCATTATAATTATAAGTTTTATTGACGTTATTCAATTTCGAATAAAACCTTGCAATCAAAAATAATAAATAAAACTTATACACCATGTGATGTACTACATTAAACTATGTGAAAGATAAACTATAGTATATTGTACATGATATACTATAATGGTATAATGGTATAATATATTTGAGTCATGTTGATACGTCTTACAATTACACAATTAATTAACGATATAATTTTGTAATCCAGAATAACCTATAGTGATAATGAAGTGTATAGTGTAATTATCGATTTCATCCCGCATGAATAATAATACTTAAAACTATTTCTAGGCAACGTTTGTATACTCTTGGGTAAATATCGATACGTAATTTATACTAAAAATGATATCACATAGGTTACTCGTATGTATAAATTCTATATCATATTGCTCAATTTAGTGTAAAAATGTATTTCATTATTATATTTTTGCTTAATATTTCTAAAACATAAAATGTCTAAATAAACAATTATTACAAGCATTAAATTATAATATAAATCCAATACAACGATTTATTTAAACATAAATTAAATAAGGCGTTAAATAGATGCAGTAAAAACATTTTTTAAAAAAAAGGTATTGTTTCAAACAGATAGAAAATATTTATTGTTTATTTGAATAGTATTCGATAATAATAAACGAATATTATTCAATTAGTGTAGAACAATGTTTTAATGCCACTGACATTTTTTAATTAGTTACACTTAAATTATAATTTATGAAAACTGTGGTATTTTTTCCATATTTACAAATTGCTCCAATTTAATTAGACATATAATATTTGTCTTTAAAGTCATTCCAGTCATGCAAATATTTTTTTAGATTACATATTTTAATACAAAAACAGTAATAATAACGCTATTTTGTTGACAATTAAATTTTAATCTTAGATCACTGCGGTGAAATTACATTTTGAATCTAAACAGAAACATATTATGTTCATCGTTTTTATTAAATCTGCAGAAGCATAATATAAAATAAATAATAAATAAATAAATAAATAATCGATGAATATGCGATCTGAATCCGGACGAGTTTCGGTAGTTCTCATTTTTCCTCCCCTTCAACGTTCTGCAGTCCAAAATTACAAATTGTTTACGCTGATGATTTGATTGATCCAACCGATGAACGAGGACACCTTCACGTACACACCGGGCACGTCTATTCTGCCGCATCCAAAGCCCCACGACACCAATCCAGCCAATTCGAAAAATCCATCGTCTTGACACACTAGAGGTCCACCGCCGTCTCCCTGCAAAAAAGACGCGATGATTCGTTATCGCAGTCGAAAAAATGTAACATCAAAATATTCGAAACCCGTATTTGTATAATTTACGGTGCCAATTAGGGATAGGCAAAATTGTTTGAACATCGAACTCGATGTATCGATATATTGATTTTTAAAATAATGATGTGTTCTATGTATCGGTGAAAAACCATTGATGTTTAAGAACATCGAAATTTAAAAATATCGAACAATTTTTTTTCCCTCTAGAGCTGCCATCTGTTGCATACCTTATTATCTGTATAGTGTACTTTTTTCTTGATTAAATAATACATTTAAGATTTAAAGTAACATTGTTTATTTTATATTTTTTAAAATCATATTAAATACTTATAATAAGTTCACGCATATGCATGTTTTCTTTTCTACATCGGAAAATATGCTAATTGAGATAGAAATCCGTTTCATAACAATGGTAATAAAAATCTAAAGTTCAATAGAGCATGTTTTTGCATGTTTTGTATGTATTGGCATATTTGGCATATAGTTGATTTTTTCTGAGTTATTAACGCATATTATTTTATGTAAATTCAGCGAAATCGTTTTTTGCGGAAGTCAAAAAAAAATTAGATCAATAAATGTTTTAATTCATTCTTATTTACTTTTCCAAACTTGTTTATAAAATCTTAGTATTTTATCAATATTTTTATTTTTTAATGACATTAAATTTTATAAGTTAAAAGCAGTACCACGAAAATAATGTAATTGCGTACCACTGCCACTCTCCTCTTATTGACGTGTTTATTGCAATCTATCTATTTTCGTTGCAACATGTGTTCATTAATTATAATTTTAATAAAATATAACCGAAGAAAAGATACAACTTTTAAAAATATAAATGGATAATTTTTATTATTTTAAAAAATCCTTAAACGTTTTTTTTTTTTCGGGCATAGTTAAGGATTTTTAATGCATATTTGATCAAATGTTAGTGCATTATTGCATGTTTATTTATGCGTTTTTTAGTGCATGAACTTACGAGCCCTGATTATAACTGTATGTGTGTACTGTATAAAAATGTTTGTATACTGCATACTAAAATAATACAAACAAAAAAAAAATTCGAACTTTTCGAACATAAACATCGATGTTTAATTGATTAATCGAAAACAAATTATAGATGTCGAAACATCGATATATCGACCCAAAACATCTATGTTTTTGCCCATTCCTAGTGCCAATCACCAGCCGGTCACAATACAAAGGGATCTGCATTCGTATCATCATATAATATCATACCTGTCTGATGATCGTTTTCCGACAAGTTGAGGAACACTAGGTTTACGGGAATATGCAACAAAATTATTGGCGTGACACAATATTTTGTAAATAAAATAATAAAAAAAATGATAAATGGTTGATAAGAGTAAATCAATATGTAAATAAATGTTCAAACTGTTTATACATAGAAATAAATAAATGCTTAATCTGGAATGTTATTATATTTGTAAGTTATATTAACCTGACCGGTTACGAATTAACAATCGTCGGGTACACATAAAGTCAGTAAAATTGCGTTTGAGCATGAACAATTATTATATATTCCTTCCTTTATTTTTTAAATTCCAAGTACCATCAGTGATATTCCGTTGGAACAAATGAATACGAACGAAACATATTTTGCTGCTCCATGCATAAATCCGTCGAAAACGGTTCGAAAACGCGTGCACGATCCCACTGTCATATTTTACCCTTTGATCTAATTCGTCTAACCCATAACGGAGAAAACTATTTTCCCTGGTCCCCATCCCATTTATACCATGTTCTATTGCACCGTGTCCCAAACTTTTTCTTTGCTGGACCGCTCAAAGATATTAAAAATTATCGCGGACCCCTTAATACGAAAAAAAATTAAAAACGATAATAAACAATACTTTGAGTATTTTTAATTTACGTTCGCGGATCCCCTCCGGTATACGTGCGGAATAAAGTTTGGAAAATGCTGTTCAATCGGACTACCGTTGTCGATTTCGTGTATTATCGCATAGTAACGTAAGACAGCGATGACCGTCCAACCGGACCGCGCATCACACCGAGACATTATCGATACTGTACCATCGCACACGACCATGACTACAGTTGAAAATTGTATTCCAAACACTGCCCAAAGTAGGCGGAGCGAGACAATACCTTTGCCGTTTGGACGAAACGTCCGGAGTAACATTTTTCACCTCCCCCTCCCCTCATCGTGCTCCCAGGATTACGCTCGGGGAGAAGGGATCGCTCACCTGACACGCGTCATTTCCCGCCTCGCCGCCCGCGCAGAAGCTGCTGGCCGGCAGTATGAATATCTTCTCGGTGACTGCGTTGATCTTGCGGATGCACTCGGCGTCACTGACCACCGGTATCTCGGCCTCGCGGATGCGCAATGGGATCGGGCCCGCCTCGCCCATGTACCCGTAACCGGTGACCGTGCACCTCTTGCCGGCTGCGTGGTTCACGCCCCTGGCCGGAAGGCACACCAGGCACACGCCGTCCTTGAGCTCGGCCTGGCCGTGTAGTTTGAGCAGAGCGATGTCGTTGTCCAGCGTCTGCGAGTTGTGGTTGTGGTGTATGTACGTGGTGGCCACGCGCAGCGTCTGTGCCCCCGGACTGCCGTACTTCCTGGTCAGGTCGTGGTCACCCACTCGCACGTAGATCGCGTCGCCGGACCTCACTATGCTGCGATTCGCAAACGATTGTCGATCAGTGATCAGTGTCATTTTTTAAGGTATAGTTTTATAATACGCGTCAAATGCATTGTGCACTTGTGCAATGCAACTGATCGTATTAACATAATAAGACTTTAACTGTTACGTACGCTCACAATATTAAAATAGTTGCTCTGCGCACCCCCGCACTAGTTTACCACCGGCGGAACGAATTTATATTTGACGAAGTTATAAAGAAAATAATATGTACAAGTTAACAATTGAATTTGAAAGCCTAGTCGTGGATTAAAGAGACTGAAAGGTTGCGGTGCGTTCCGAATTGGAATTTAGAATGGTATGTGTATGTACAACATGTATTAATAATCTTATGTTATTTTGATACGCGAGTACAATACGAATTTTTAAACGGTTTTATAAAATATAATTAGAACCGTTGTAAAGCAACGATGATACGCGAGTGCTGTTATTATAATAAATATGATGTAAATATCCAGTTGCACCGAGTGAAAAAGAAAATACGTAATGATATCACGTATGATGTTATAATGTTTATGATAATTATTATAATAATCATCGTAAGAATTCAGTCAGTAAGTGGTGAGAGGGGGCTGTCAAACTAGGTTATTAAATAAGTCTATACTTATGCGGGAGTATTTTTTAAATTGTAATTCATCATCTCGTAGTTCGTTCATGGTCGGTTGTTATTTTCGCGCGCTTAAAGCCAACCGATGCGTTATTATGTCAAATCTGTCGTCTTCGGCATACCGTAATATTACCACACGGCGGCCGCAGAACCGTATGTCCATAGATAATGCGTACGCCGGACCGAGCTATAGCCTACATCAACGGTTCCCAACATTTTATGACCACGGAAAACATTTAGGAAACAGTTTTCGTTTCGCGGAGTCCCGATGTCTCTGATTCCAACTTTTACTCGATTTTTCAATTATTTATTGAAAAACCAATAGTCCGAAAAATTTTTTGAAGACCCACATTCATGATTGCTGTTTATCACAATGACTGTTATCGATATATCCATTTGCCTCTTGCAGACTTGAGATTGTCCCGCGGAACACGGTTTGGTGGCCTACGTTACACGCGGTCGGCGCGTGGTGCACACCGATCAGCCGCAACTCGGGCAAAAACGCGCACTCGTGTGCCCAGTGGCGACGTCGAGGGCCAATCGTTGTGCAATTTCTCTCGATCGATCGAGTCTGTCCGGCGCGCACATGGTCAGAAGCGTGCACGCGAAAACATTTCGGACGATAAATGAACACGGAAAAGTTTTGAAATGATAGAACACGAACGAAACACGACTCACTTGGTAACGCAATGAGCGGCCGTCAACACCCACTGGGTGCCGATCAACGCGCCGCCGCAAAGGTATTGGTTCAACGAGTTGATCAACGCCACTTGCCAACACCATTCGGCCGCGTCCGCGTCTTCGCCGCCAACCACCCTCGACGTCCGCGTCCTAGACGTCCCTTTGACGCCGCACACGTATTTGCTGTACGTCGATGGTTTGGACGGTATCGCGTTGGTCGTGGTAAGCGTGGACACCGTCGGATTCATCGGATAGTCGGTCACTAAAAATACGATTTTATTGAATACGAAAAAAAAAATTAAAAAATTGTAACAGCTCTTGTTTAATTGCAAAGCAACCTATACCTGAACTACGTAAGCATATTTATATGAATGACACAGATATATCAGGGAAAAATTAATCAAATGAGGATGGTCGTGAACGGTCGAAAGACGTGACCGAGGAAAAACAAAAATTGAGTAGGAGGACGATGTCGGATGAAATATAGCTCAATGTAGAAAATAATTCGGAATGATGTATAAAGTACGTAGAAAAGGGATTAGTGTATTTAATACGTTTCGAGTGGATTTGAGTAAAAATCATTTTTGCCAACACATTCCACTAATTTTATATTTAATTTCAATTTTTTGTATTTATCTAATTTTATTTAACTACTGTTTTGAGCCACGTGGATCATACTTTTGAGCAGTATGATTTTAACAGTAAAACCAATTTCACTTATTTCCCTTAAAATCATACATATTATAAAAAAACAACGTTTCATGTTATCGAACTTGTGACTCACAATGATGCAACTGACTGCACACGTTGTGTCGAACCAAACAATACGTTTAACCATACACATTTCCTTGCATCATAGATTTATTTTAAATATTAAACTGCGCCAACAGGCGTTATTTAGGTGCCCCACTTTGAATTAGGCTTCCAATCATAAAACCACGCGTTAACATCGTTGCAGACATCGCAAAGAAGCCGGTTCGACATGTGTGCACGCGAGATGTCCATTACAAGCCAAGGTATCATTTAAATAAATTAAACATAAACATTTCATTACCATAATATCTTTATGTGAAACATCCTGTAAAATGAGTTGCTTTAAAAAATAATCAGCATTAAAAATTGATTATCCATGCGTGTGAGCATTGGATACTTAAAATGTCTATATCAATAAAATTAAAATGCAATTTATTATTCGCTCGAAGGGTTTAACCCATAAGACGTACGAATATATTATATTTTATACAAAATACATTTGGGAACGAACGATCAATGAGAAAGAACCAACTGACGCGATAATTTTTTTTTTCACACGACTATACATGCTGAATCTAGGACAAAGTATTTCCAAAATTGTTTTCAAATCAAACAAGTGTTAAAATAACAATCCCCTGCAGGTTTACACTCAAATCTTAATTGTTACATTTTAATTTATAGTATAATGTAAAAAAAACTCTTAAACATTAATATGTTTGGTAATACATAATAATACTAATACGAGTAAATGATTAATTGATAATCAAGTATTACGACAGACAAAAGATGGAAATCATTACGGAAAGAGTGCAAAAAAAAGTTATAGCCGAATGAAAATTAGAGTGATAGTTTTTTTTTTTTTTTATCTCCTATTTTTGATGAAGCTTAAATTATAATTTTAAAGATTGCTAAAAAACAATTTTTGTAGAAAAATTGCTTAAACAACACTTGACTAAATGTAGGTATATTTTATTAAGCACTCACTAGGTGACGGCGTGTACACTTGCAACGAACTGGGTACGTGCGGCCTAAACGGTGGTACGGTGTCATTTCTGTGCGTAAATCCGCCATAGGTCTGTGGGGTGGATTGTTGTGTAACAACGCCGTTGTTTACGACGCCCGTCTTCTGTTCGACCACTTCACGGATTTGTGTTTTCGAAGCGCAACACTGCGTTCCGGGCTTACGGCATTTGAACACGTCCGTCATTTCAGCGTTTCCTGATCACAAGAATTTATTATTAAATTGCGTTTTTTTTTTTTTTTTACGAAAATAAAACGACACGTGACATAATGTTAATTGACCCGCCACCAAACGATTACACTGATTAATTCGTCTTCAAACGTATACCACTCGTTATCTTCAGAATATTGTTTTCCTAACAGCCAACATTCTTCGTACGTATTTACTTATGTTTAAGTGCTGGGCAGATTGTTGTACGAATGATTAATGGAACCCGCGAGGATACGGTCACGGTTTCGCACATTGAGCGCGTTCAAAAATTTATTTTTTATTTTATTTTTTTATAACCCTGCACGTTTAGTAGCTCGTTATATTTTTCGAACAACAATAGGTTCAAATTAGCCCAGTGAGTGACCTACACAGAATTTGAATCCGTCGAGTATGCCGGTTTTAAATGGTGAAAAATATTCCGGGCCTCCGGTACGATTACTATTATTATTAATAAATTATTAGCAAACAAGACGTATCGAGTATAAAAATATAATGAAACAATTTAACGCTGACGATATAGTGTACGATTTTTATTAGGAAAAATGTGTTCGTGTAAAATAATAACAGTTTTAACGGAAAAGATCATTATTTAAAAATATTTATGCTGTGACATTGAATAAATAATACAATTCATAAGAAAATATTTATATGCGTATTCTCAATAATATTTTACATCTCTAGAATGTAAGTCGCATAACAAATTCATATGTATTTATTTTTATAAATCAATAGTTATTTAAGTTATACTGTATATATGATATTATTGATTAACGAAAAAATTGAACTCACTGAAACACGTGAACGACAGGTAAGGGACGATGCACGAGCCGGGACACTCGGGTCGTCCATCGGGCGGTGGTGGTGGCACGGTCGTAGTGGTCGTGGTTGGCGCAGGTGGCCGGGGTTTGGGTTTCTGCGCGTGCGACGCCGACTGGGCGGCCGCTTTGGTGTTGTCACAGCACACGGAGCCGCGTTTGCACGTGGACGTGTACGACACGAGTACGGACGGCCGTTCGCAGAACGCGGCCATCAAGTTCAGTAGACAGAAACCGGGGCACTTGGGCAACGGCGGCCCGGTCTCGGTCGTGGTTGTGGTGGCCGCGGGCCGGGACGGTGGCTGCTTGGACGGCGTAGCCGGTCGCGGTGGCAACGGCGATGGCGATGACTGTTGACCTTCCGCGGGCGCAGAAACACAGCAACTGCTGTCGTCGCCGGGACAGTACGCATCGGCATCCACGTCGTCGCAGAACAACGCGAACAGCCCGCTTACGCACTCGCCCCGACACTGTTTGCTGCCCACGGGCGGGGACGCAGCGACCGCTGACTGCGCGGCCGGCGTGGTCGTGGTCGTCGTGGACGACGGCGGTGGTGGCCGGTGCGGCGCGTTGTTCACGCTGATCCTGGTCGAGTTCCTGTCCAGTACGACCAAGTGCTCAGCCCCGGCGAACGCGTCTTTGGACACACAGCACCGCAGGCCCGTCTTGCACATTTCCGTCACGTTCAACACAGCCTCGCAGTAGTCGGCTATCTTCTCGGCTACGCAAACTCCCGGACAGACGATGCCTTCGAGAGACGAAAACAAACACGAAAATGGTTAGTATCACATTAAATCACGCCGAATAAACTACAGACAACGAGAGAGAAAAAGAAAAAGAGAGGGTGGAAAGAGACCGAGAGATCACCCGTTTACTATTTTAGGTTTACCTTCTTACCCGGATTGTCCGCGGACGATGTGTTCACTACCGGCCTCGACTGTTGGCTGCTGGAGGAGACCTGCGACGGTAAAAGAAAAAGCAATCAATTGATGTACACATGACAATTACGTTCAAAAGGAACATTTTACTATTTCCCTTCGACTATGTGCAGCAGTTGACTGCTGTTGCACTCACTTGTTGCGGCCTAGCGCTAGACTGCACTGCCGGCGTAGTCTGGTCCACCTTGTTGGCCACGGAGGTCGTGCCGTTGGCCGACAGCGGGGGTGGTTCCACGCAGCACCTCATCGTCGAGCTCGGACACTTGACGTTCTCCAGCACTTCGTAGCATATTAGCGTAGCCAGCGTGTGAACGCAAACTCCCGGGCAGTCTTTGCTGTCTGCCGTGCTCGTAATCGTGTCCAACAAACCTGCGTCGGAGTCAAACACGCAACGTTATTGAAACATGTATTTTTTATAAAATGATTATGAACACCAACATCCCTTATACAAACGGAACTGTAGGTGACATCAGTGCCGTTCAGAGGGGGGGGGGCAACAGGACCATTTTTCCCCAGACCTCATTGTTGGTATATTTTTTAAGGAGCCCCTATAGTCTTAATGTGTAATAATTAATAATAAAGCCTAGATTACACTGAGAAATTTTACACGCTGCGTGTCGGCGATTAAAGTCATTGAGCGTATACCGACTTGTTCGATTACATTGAGCAATTAAATTATAAATAATTCGAATCATATTCAATTTTATTATGTAAGATAGTAATGTAGTACATGAATTTAGATGAGTTTGATTGGTTAAGGTTTGGAAAAATACGTTTGCAAGAATATTTTTATGCTAAGTGAGTATTTTGTTTAACATATGTTATTATTATGGTCGAAGGGTCCCCAAATTAATTTGTACCTGGCCCCGAATGGCCTTGAAACGGCCCTGGGTGACAGACATTGCAGAGAAATGATAGTGAGCTGGTCGTTATATACCTACAGTTATTTTCGGATCTTACTTCGAGTTCGCTTGCGGTACAATAAACCTATAACTATGTACAACCGTTATTCTACGCCTAAAGTTATTGTACGATTATTCTAAACGACTAGCCATTAAAATAACACTCGCAAATGGTATTAACCGAGTAAAATCATTGGTAAATTTAATCGATGTATTTTTCATACACACATACGAACAAATATGTCATAATTGTATGGGTAGATTAGACGTCTTCTACTGGATGCGAATAGTCGAGGAGATTGAATTTTATTCGATTTTAATCTTGTCAGAAATCGTTATTAAACGCTCATTCACAATACGTTATTGTGTCCTTATCGAATTTATCCGCGAACTTTGCCGTTGGCCGTCGACCATCATCCTCGCTCTCGCGTTCCTATACCGAGCCGACGCCGGCCGTTTTTTCTCTGGCAGTGGTCATGTCGTCGTTGTCCCTGTCTCCACAGCTTTTCGGTCGTCTTCGAATCCATCATGAGCTTCGAATCCACTGTGTGAACCACGTATGCGTGTGGGCCGCTGTTATATTTTACGTGTCGCGATAGTTCCGCACTCTCGTCCAGTCTTTCTATCGTGGTACATCCGTTATGTCCATCTCGTGTGAAGTGTTCCGGCCGACTTGCAATTAAACTGTATCGCTTCGCTCCAGTGCGCGCATTCAACACCACCGAGTTATTAGCTCTGGTCGACCGCGAACAGATCGACCATTAGGTGGGGTCATAGGCGCAACTAGGGGGGCGAAATAGGGTTTTTAGTACCCCTGAGTTCAAATGTAGCACTCCTGTTTTTTTTTCAGATCTATATCATATAATCTATATATAATAATTACAATTAAATACCATTTAGTTTTATTTTCAGCAATTTTAGCACCCCCCATTATTTGGGCTCAAGTTGCGCCCATGGGTGGAGTCGGGTCAGGTCATGTTCGTCATACTCTTCCGCGAACGGTTTAACCGTTTTGTCACTCCACTAAAAAAAAAATTTATTGGCACAAACGTACGAGCATGTGCACAAACAACTCTCTGCCAAGGTGTTCAACGATGTAGTAATGCATATTATGAGTCGTGCGAATTTTCGTGATATTCGAAACTGTATTTTCTTGTTAACTTAAAGTTATTAAATATTTATTCGTTATACTAATTTTAATGTATGATAAAATATTCATTATTTAACAAATTTTAAAACAGAATCGGACGTTATTTGAATAACTATTATAAAAAAATATTATTCTTTAATTAATGTTCATTGTTCATTATTCATTATATTATTCATACAATTTATTCATTATTCGATTATTCGTTATTTAATTATTTTTTATACGTTATCCTACATAATTATATCATATTTAACTTGAATGTTTCGTACACAACTTACAGTTTCAATTTATTAAAATCGTATTTATAACATGTTACGTGGTATTAAAAATTAAGCCGTTAATGTTATTATTATTATAGATAAAAACCGATATAACTTGATATTATTAATATTATTAAAATTATTATTACTATTGTGATCGATCGGCGTTTACTAGTTGGGTCCCCAAGACCCTTCTTTAATCTAGTCAAGTCCCAGTGTTTTTCAGGTAGTTTAGGCAGGGTCCCTGCCGATTTTACTAGTACTACTCTAGTTGATCCATACAATATAAAACATTTCCTTTCTCATTTTTATAAACTTAGGACTGTCAGTGATCTATATATTAGAATACAGGTATGGTTTTTTTTTTTTTAAAGTTTCTAATACATAGTTACTATGTATTAATAATTAGAACATAGGTATATGGTAAATAAATAAAATAAATTATTAAACAATTTGATAAGTACAATATTAGTACAAATCTAAACCATAGTTTACAACCAACTTTTACAAACTTAGATCTATTAATTTTTTAAAATTAACAAGTGTATCAATACTTGTAAGTTACAGCTTTTATTATCGGAGTTATCGGATCGAACTAGTATGTTATCGTTTTTTATAATCGGAATCAATTATTTGTCTATCTTTATAATAACTATTATCTGGGACCCAACTCAGATACGCCCTGATCGACATGGTAATTGTTATTATTATTATCGTTATTGTTATAAAGATAATACTGTTATTATCAATTTGTTCTAGAAAAATTCAATAATATTTACTAATTATTTTAAATAAATTGTTCAGAATAATTAATTTATAACTAACTATTTAGAATAAAATATTTTTATTTATTTGAAAATAATCAGTTACTTATGATTTCATTTTATATTCATTATTTTGATTTGTTTTTGTCCAACGCCGATAAAAATAATACCTCCATAGGTTTTCATCGTAGAAAAGTATGCATTTTATTGTGCTACCTAATTACTTACCTTTATTTAACATCGGGCAATAGATAATTTGATTTATACATAAAAAAAAAAAAAAAAAAAAAAACTACAGAATATAACTAACAATGTAATTCATGAAAAAATGTTGCTTCTAATGTTATAAAAACGTTTCACTTTTTATTTTTTATTATTTGGCCACGAATTCGGGGAAACAGAGGCATACTCACAATCGAACCGTGACTTCAGATGCACAATATACTCCTAATTAACCGTCAAAATACGGTAAACGGGTAAAAATATAATGCCATCTCCTAGGACAGCCGGTAAAACGAATCAACAAAATAATAGTATCATCACTAGGGTTTGGAAGTTATAGGAGTCAAAAAAGGCAAATATGCACAAAAAGAAATTATAAAATATGCACTTTTTCTCTAAAATTAACGAAACATGATGCAAAATATGAATTTTTAGTTTTCAATTTTTTAACTTAACATTGTGCAGCTCGGATTTTTAGCTTGATCTGCTGTAAATCGAGAGCATACAAAACAATATGCAACTCCTATAACTTTCGAACCCTAATCATCACCATTGCCCGACACGAGGCAGACGGTTAATGCGATGGCGCATCAGCGTACGTGCGACCTAGTATTAATCTGTTTTTCCGCATAATATTTCTGTACACCGGTCATCGGCACTTCGTTTGCCCACCCCTGGCAGGCCCCACCCAGGGCTCCACGGTATACGATCCGGGCGATAATATGACGTACGCACGTAAACAATACCGTGCCGTGTACACAATAACAACATTAATAATAGTAATAATAAAACACAAGTAGGTATCCGGGTCACACACCGGTGCGATGATTCCCTTTATTGTGCGAATGCGTATAACGGTCCGGCGCTGCTCGCACGTTTCCGTAACGGTACTGACGTAGCGGTGACGGTAGCGTACACACACGTCGTGCGCACACGCGCACCCGTGACACAGCCGCGCGCTTTGGACAGGGACAGTATTTCCGCCAAGGATTTTCCCGTTTCTTCGATGATTTCAACAGTTAAAACATTCCCCGTTCCGAACCTCGTCCCTTATCAAATCCTCGTGTATCATGTTAACTCGCTGCAGAACTTCAACCACTGCCCCGTTGGTTGCGATCTGGTTGCATCGTTTTAGAAGGGACAAGAGAAAAGGCTCGTATCAGTCGAACTTATTGCACTTCTCACCTAAGTTAACATGATCGAACTGCATTCGAATACTGCAGCTGACGGTCGAAGTGCACTTAGGTAAAAAAAAAAAAAAAATGTGATATTTATACTATTGTAATAAATTATCTAAAATGATATAATTGTGCTTTTAACGGATTACCGTTTTAAATCAGAATGTATTAGAAAAATAAGCGATTTTCTCGCGAAACGAGGTCTTAGGTTTTTCATACGAAGAACTAATGTCAAAAATGTCAAGGTACTTAGGGTATAAGACTATTATTTTTATATCACCTTGGGGTAAGCGTTTATAGTAAAAAAAAAAAAATAGCTATTTTTAGTTATGCATTTAAATTAAAATTGTAATTCTTAAATCGAGTGCAGTTCCATTACCTTTCCTTGACCCAGGTGTAATTAACCGAATTGCGATTACTCTTTCATAGTGCGGTTTAAACTATTCGACTATAGACGAATGGATAACAATGCGATATTTTCCTTTACCAACAGCGACCCTGCGATACCTGCCCACAACAGCTTCACTAACTGCAGCAACGTATGTGATATACACCGTGGTAATGTAGCTACACACGCATTACACAATTGAAGATGTTGTTCTCATCGCGATCTCTACGCATTGACACAGAGCAAGAGAGAGCTGCACGGTTCAAATAACGCACGTGGCATACGTCTGCCCACCCGGCGCACACGGAAATAAATGTTTTTATTCTTATCACAGTAACAGAACTCCGAAAAAATGTCTATACTGTCTCATATCCGTTACACACGTATCCAATTGAATTCAAACACGTTTACTCAGCATAACCCTCGACGGCGTCACAGCTACGGCGTATACATTGATCGTTATGTATTTATAATAATATTATTACTATCAGCTCGTCCGTGTATA